GTCCCCTCTCAGGACCATCCACTTGGTGCTCAGCTCAAAGCACCGAGTCTCCTGGTTACTGGAGGCCCAACAGCTGCCACCAAACCTGCCAGTGTTTGTGCAGGTCAGTCGGAGAGGATTATGGACATCCTTAAAATATTCACAGATTCTCTTTTGCGTGAGCGCACGTTTCAACTAAACTATCTTTTAGGTGTCTGCAAACTCAAGCGTCGAGTCACACGCTCTACGCTTACATGTGCGAACGGTTCATTTGTTACCGTCACGCCCTCGTCCACTGCACCGCTGGGCCCTGAAGCACCATGGCAACCTGTCCTCACTGATGTACACGAAACGTGGTAATCGTGTCTACATTCAGCTAGGAGAAGGTGGGCCACTGAGAAACAATCATTTGATGAGAAATGTTCAAGCATGAGTGATGTTTTGTTGTATCCTCAATAATTAGATGATTAACCTAGAGTGTTACTTTGAACAATTTACAGGCGGGTTCATGGAAAGGTTATAGAACAGACGTGGGCAACATATGGTCCAAAGGCCAAACTGGCCCTTAGACAATCTCCATCCAGCCCCCAATATATTTATCTCTAACACACGTTTTTGTCCTTTCATGTGGTTGAGCATGTTTAAGCTAACAAATATTTTATTACAAGATCCAGTTTTGGGGAGACAGAGAGAATATTGGTGAGGTGTATTTTTGTCAAGCTAACTGTGCTACAACAAGAAAAAGGCTAAAACAAGTCTTACAGATTATTAATTTATTTTCCAATTTACTATGCAACATTTCAGTTGCTTTAAATATCTTGGTTTGGGCCTCTGGGCGACATAGTGTCCCACCCCTGTTATAGACAATAGGTATAGATGACTTTTTGAATTACTCAGTTTGGAAAAGTAGAGTTTAAGTTTGCAGGACATGAGCTAATGATTAATCTGAACCAAAGCCAAAGTGGATTCCTGCCGTTTTAAATCAAGTGGTCTAAAAGATTTATTGGAGGTTCCATCAAAATATGGTTCATAGATCTTTTGCACACTTGTCTTTTGTTATTTGCAAGTACAAACAGGGGCAGCAGCTGCTAGCTGTAGCTGGACCTTTAGCTGGGGATGCTGTAAAGAATAGAACATTTCTGCCATGAAATAAAATGAAAGCAATGAAATGTAGCAGATTGAAACAGATTTCAACTTTAAAACTTGGACTCGCAAAAATTTAAACTGTTGCTGTTTCAAATAACTCCGATTTTGTTTATATAGTTGTTTATGCATCAAACAAAAAATGGCGTGCAAAGTGTTTTTGCCTCCTTTTGCTGATCAAAATGTCAGACAGCAGGATTTGATGTATGAGCACTGCCTTCTTCTATTTGTTAGCATCAGCTTAAACTTATACTGCAGCCAGCCAACCGAGGGCTCCAGTTCTGGTTCAGCTTCATCGTCCACTTTCCATTCCTTCTTGTTATAAACAAGAAAAGTATGTTGATTTGTTTATGTAATTGTTATCATTGTAACCTTTCCAGAATTGTCAGTTCACATTGCACAGTTGCTCCCGTAGGAATAGTAATGACATTCCTGCCGGAAGTGATCCCTGACTGCACAGGAAGTGCTACAGCTAACTGCTGCTCCTGCTATTTATACTTGCAAATAACCTATATAATGACTATGTAGTGTAAAATTAATAGTGGTTTGGGATGGACCGAGCAGTAAAAGGACAGTCAGGCACAGGTTAAGTCCAAAAAATAAATATTTTTAATAAACCCAAAAAATCAACTTGGGCAAATCATAACAGATAACAAAATTGGGCCCATTAAAGAGGTCAGCATAACTGGACTCTACTCAAACAAACAGAACACTTAGGTAAAACACACAAACAACTAACTGGAACTAACATAAGGAAATCATTCCCCCCTGTGGTTTTACCTGTGCCTCACTA